GAAAGAGAAGCGTAGATTCTACTCCTACTACTACTTGACTATGCACGATGTGGAGTGGTAATCACAGCCTTGGTACACCACTAGCCCCGGCCGCCCGAGCTCCCGCTCCTGGAAACAGGCGCACCGCTGGCTCACCTGCCCCGTCAGAGCTATGTCGCCCGGCCTCCTCACTAACCTCGGGTACCCTGTCTCGCACCAAACCTGCACACCATTAATAAAACGTCAAGGTTTCCCTAGAAATCATCAGGTTAACGCTTGACCAAATGTGATGTTAGCACAAAACCGCTTCTTTCAGAATTTCAGACTCTGTTGCGGGGGAAACAAACCACACATTTTAGTTCAACTCTGCGTTGGTGCTGTGTGCAAATGCTTCAGCCAGTAATAAATTCGACCGATGATACTCGTATCGAATTTATGGGCCTAGCAAGCCCCCAGGGAAGACAAAGCTCCTATGTTCTATATCTACATGTACTACTGCTATCGAATTTATGGGCCTAGCACTAGCAGGCGGAAAGCCACAAGTCATAGGTTCCACGTCTACAGAGAAGCACCGGCATACTAGGTTCAGCAAGTGTGCCTGGAATACCCACTGCCAAGCACCCATCAAAGATATGGTCGCTACAGTAGGTCTAAGGCTCTCTCCAAGCAAGGACGAGAAGAAATGCGGGAGACAGTTCAGTGGACAGTAGCCCCACATGCACTGGGTTTTGTGAGCAGTGCCAACATGCTGCACAAAGTTACTGCTCATTCTCATCAATAGTACAAGTAGTTTCTTGTGCTATTTCATTTGCTATATATTACTCCATGACTCATTTTGGAGCCAGCTTGCTGAAACTCGGCCATTGTCAGGCCGAGAAATGGTAGTTACACTACGAACTATGGGGTTAGTACAAAACCGTCACTCGTGGCAAATGCCAGAAGCAACTGACCCGACATGGATGCCTGGAAGGTTACCCGCAAGAGTCATAATAAGCCCTAAATCACTACTGCCCTACCAAGGTGCAATATGTTTGTATGCAGAACTGCTGCACTAAGCATGCTCCAGATAATGTAAATTCCATGAATTTCGGTCAGAACCAAATTATTCACGAGCCATCTAAGAAAGAAGATTGAGTAAACTGAGAGCAGCAGCGATAGAAATCAGTTGAATGGGTTGCTTACTTCTCCACCCTCTGCCTCACTCCATTTTGAATTACAGCTGGGTATTTTATCTTCCTCCCTCTTCTGCTTCTCAAGAAGCTGAGCACCTCTTTTTGCCTTCATCTCCACACCCTTCAGATATTTTGTAGGATTGCCCTCGCTGTCGTGGTAGCGTCCAACAATTTTACCAGCAAATCTGCAATATGTATTTAGGATATTACCAAGGATACATCATATACCAGGTCAGCTTTTTATCAAATGATCCACAACAAACTAACATGTTTCGCATTGTACAGGCATATATGTACTAACATAAACAAAACAATTTGAGTAACAGGTTTTAGAAGAAAAAAAAAAGTCATTCAAACATTGAACAGAATAGAGATCAGCTTCTTGAGTTATTCACATCCCGCGAAAATACAAAATAGAAGCAACTTTGATCAACCAGCAATGAAAAAAACTCACATGTATCTCTCAACGTAAAATTTCCTCCAGTCAACAATGCTATTTACCTGAAAGAAAGTGAAAACCATATAACATTAAACAATTCAGCAACAAGGAAGGGAACACCTCTAAAATAAAATAAATATATTTGTTAGAATGTCTGTTATGTTCAGTACTTCAGTCAGTGTACCAAGTTACCGGCCTTCATCAGTATTACTCAATAAAATATACACACGATTAAGATTGTAGCGAGCTGCCGACCTTTTCATTATTTACTCAGTAATTCAGCGTTGACATACATATTTTCTACACATTAGCACCTATGAGCTACTTCCATGCAATGACAAGTAAGAAGATCCAACTATTAATAACATTAACATAAGAAACAGGTTCAGTAACTGACTAGCTGGTACATTGAAATTTGAAGCAAAAGGCCTACAACTCCATTGTACGCATTATAATTGAAGTTGTCAATATTCTTAACCATCTAGTACTTCTTAACTATACTAATACTAATCATCTTTATCTTTGATCACCCAGCTCTAAAGATAAAATTGAAGTTGTAAAAATATTATGAATAAATAATTAGTAGTGCATGCTTGACTGTAGTTGTTCTCTAAAAACATCACTCTGACAATCTTAGCTCAGTAGCTCTACAGAGAAGTTGTAAGCAGTACAGACATTATGGATACAATTAAATCATTGGTAAGATATGCTTGTACCTCCATGCTAGATAAACCCTGCAAAGAATCTGTCAGCCCATCACCTGTTCAAGCACAGAAGTGGTTATTCTATTGCCAGTTCATATGAACTTTGTCACTATGATGGTTTTCTTTTATTTTTGATGGATGTACACAACAATTACCGCCAGTGACAGTTCAAACATATTAAAAAGTTAATTCCATGTTATCTATGACTGCAACGATATCACGGCCACCTCTCTTCACTATATAGAGGCTGAATCAACTAACATAATTTAATGATTTTTTCTTGATTCAGTACTCTTATGTATTGATTTTCAACCAAACCTCCCTATTGACTTTATGATTAATTAGCTACTGATCCAAGCCCTTCTATCTCAGCTTGGATCCAAATGTCATATCTCAAGGATGCAAATACATTAACCTGACATGCGACTTATTTTCCTCATTTTTGTCCCCAGCAGGCCACTCCTGATTTAAAAAGTCAGCTAAATTTAACCACCTTGAGCAGCTTTCTAGGTAGTCGAGATAGAATGGTGTACTAGACAGTTAAGCCAAGCATGAGTTCTGAAGAGACGATACATATGTAAAATCCTTGATTTAGCAATGGGGCTAATGCAGAAGTGCAGAACTAAACATAATATCTAGTATACGATTAAAACATGGTTTCGCTCTCAAGGCTAGAAATTCTCATCTTAATTTGAGGAAAAATTTAAGATCTATACACTTATTTTGGTGAGTCCAGACTATCATGATGCAGCTCGATTTAACATGAAGATTTGTTAACAATTGCCAAAGACCAGTTATATTTTAAAACGACAAGCAATAGAGTTACGTTAACAAGTAGTACAAACCTATTTTAAAAAGAGTCGAGCTATGTAGCGTCACAGTTCCTTGAGAAATACTGCTAGTTTGATCCTAATATCAAAGTACTTTCACTGATATATTGCTCCATCATCATGACCGATAAGTTATATAGTATGCTTTCTGCTGCTGTTTCCCCTGTCCCATATGTAGTTGGATGAACTATTGATTTTTAGCTAAAACTAACCAAAAACAATTCAAATATATTGTATACTATGATGCTTGCAGTAAAAATCAATTGTGTAAATTTGATGAAGGTCAAGGAGGCTCCGAAAGATAAAATGCAGCTCAGTACAGCCAGCATCAATTCAGGATCACCAAACATATTTACCAAATGCAACAAACCAGCAATACGATGAATGATCTTACCTGTAAAATTTCCAGAAACAAAAGCTCGTGATGCGTCCCTGTTAAGGAAATGCCGTTTTAATATCAGAATAAAACAATAAAGGAAAATGAGGGAAGCTTACTGAAATTTGTCAAAATTAAAATTGATCATAGACTAGGCTATGTCTCTGTTTGCCCCTGCCCCAGCACCCGAAGTTTAAATTACCATCAACTGGGCTAAGACTGCTAATACTCCTAGTGGAAAATGCTCGACCCCCAAAATTCAAATAGTGCTTTGAGGTTCATTTCTGGATCCAGTTACCTCGTGAAAGTAGGACCTCTTCAAGTTTAAAGCGGAAATTTCTGAAATTGTATGTACATGATTTGCATAGAGGTAACAAAACATGGCATGGAAATACGTAAAACTACAAAACTGAAATGTTCTGTTTACGACAACAGAATTTGGAACACAGCAGAAGTATAAAATGGCAACCTGCCCGAAAAGTGGTGATAGCCTCCTCCAGGGCCATAATGTGACCTTCCTTTTGTGACATCAAACACCGAGCTGCATTACAAATAAAAAGAAGCAAGATAAGCTCACATATACTCCAAGAAGCTGGAACTAAGCGAATACACCATACATACAGCTGAAGCAATAGGTAGGTTTATTTAAATTAGCATTCACCAGTGAACAGATTGAACATCTTTTTCTACTAAAATACGAAGCAATATAGGCAGAGAAAGAAGTATGAATACCCCAAAATACCAAGCAATATGGGCAACCCTTCATCTGTTCCGTTGTATATCGACAACTCCTCCAGCGTCCACAACCTCTGCACATTGCAGCAGATATGAGAAGAGAAAAAGGGTGTTACAACCTCAGGAAACTTTTTCGACCTCCAAACTTCAGAAAGTTATAGCTCGAAAATGGCCACGTCCCTTAAATCCTCTTGTTTCTTAAATCCAAAGATAAAGGTAGAGGAAGCTCCAATCAGAAGTCCACTACACAGTTACACTGAATCCCATCCCTTCCACCACATATAAGCTGCAACCCTGATACAGCACGGATGCCTAGCGTCTAGATCAAATCCCTTAGCCGATTGATACGTCTAATCGACAAAGAAGCCGTTCGTCTACAATTTAGCTTCTGAATTAGTTGCACAAGCAGCAAAGCAGCTTCGCAGAGTAGATAAACAAGCGAGCTCTGCCTCAGACTCTGGGAAGCGGGAGATTTTGGGGGAGACGAACGCACCGGCTTCCTGAGGCGGTAGAGCTGGAGGAGGACGGCGATGAGGGCCGCGAGCAGCGCGAGGCCCAGGGGGAGGCGGGCGCCGAGCGCCATGCTCGTGGCTCCGACCGAGAGATCCACCAGCACCAGGAGCGCCGCCACGAAGTGGAGCTCCTCCTTGGGACGCGACGGCGTCGCTTCGGAAGGCTTTGAGCGCGGATGGAAGACCGTCCGAGTCTCGGGAGTGAGCGGTGGTGGGACGGCGGCGGCGTGACGGCGACGGCGGGGCAGGGCCGGGGCGGAGCGCTACGGGCAGATTTCTGACGGACCACTCGACCTGCCTGTCGTGTCTGAAGAAAGCCACGAAAACGGCGTCCAAATATTTTTTTTGAGGGCAAAGCATAGCTTTATTACTTAACGATGCCGGGGCAAATCACCCGAGGCACATACAGCCACATGGGCTGGAACATCAGACTCAAACTCCACATAATGATTCGCTGGGTACATACGGCCAACAATGGCCAGTTCATGTGCAACGGAGTTTGCACTCCGGCGACACACCGTAACGACAAATCTAGAGAACCACATCTTCAGTTGAAACTTGGTGTCCTCAATGATGGCTGCATACGGCGATGAATCAACCCTCCGGAGATCCAGTGCTTCAACCAGCATCTGTGAGTCTGTCTCAAAAACAGGTTGAACTACTCCCAGGTCCGCGGCGAGTGCAACAGCATTCGACATAGCAATCGCTTCAGCTACAAAAGGATCCCCTGCATTCTCCTGTCTGCCCGCCCGAGCAGCGACTAGAACACCTTCAGAGGTGCGAGCGACAACACCCCAACTCACATAGTTTTCACCGGGGATGAACGACCCATCCAGATTGAGTTTAATCACTCCTTCGGCTGGTGGTTTCCACTTATCAGGAGAAACTGTTTTACTCTTCGGAAGGTAGACTTGCATATATTCCAGAACGGAGCTACGTGCTCGACGAGCCACAACAGCAGGTGCTAGCGGATTCTCTCCCTTCCATAGCTTATTTCTGTTGCTCCACCACAGCCACCAGAAGGTGAACACATGCATACGTTTTCCTTCCTCCAGACCCCAAAGATACTCTAGCATTGCATGCTCATTCGTGATGCGTTCTAGGTCCATTCTCTCTTTCTCCAGTGCTAACTCTCGCCAAACCTCCTTTGCCTTTATACATTTGACAAAAAGATGAGCACCATCTTCATCGGATTTGCCACAGAAGAAGCATTTTGTACTTTCCACCTTGAGTCCCCTCCTATGCATATTAGTCAAAAGCGCAAGTGAGTTGTGCTTAACTCTCCAGACAAACATCTGAACATTCCTGGGACACGGCATCTTCCAAATCCTCTTCCATGAATTGTCATCACAACTGTTAAGATTGCCCACCGCATGAGTGCTTGCGCCCACACCACCATTTGTGCTTACGTTCTGCAACTCAACGTGCAATTTATACGCACTTTTCACTGTGTGTTCTCCCTTGGGCTCAAACTGCCATGCGATAAAATCCTGAATGCCGTCCCTTAGAGGCATCTGCAGTATATGACGCACATCATCTGGCCAAAAGGTATCCCTCACTAGCCTTTCATCCCACTGTCCGGATGCCGGATCAATCAGCTCATGCACGTATTGGAGAATATTATTCCCTCGAGGGGTTATCACTGTCCGCGACCAAGGCCTTGGAATCCAAGGATCCGTCCAGATTTTGACAGAGGCTCCATCTCCAATGCGCCAAATATAGCCCTCCCTAACAAGATCCAGCCCCTTCAACAAGCTTCGCCAGACATAGGAAATACCATCCTTGGCTTCTGCTTCCAACAAGTGGCAATGAGGAAAGTATCGGGCCTTGAGAACTCGACCACACAGGGTGTTTGGGTTTTGTATTAGCCTCCAAGCTTGCCGCGACAACATGGCCATATTGAAGCTGTACATGTCTCTGAAGCCAAGTCCCCCTTTGGCTTTTGGTTTGATTAATTTCTCCCAGCTAAGCCAGTGAACTGTATTCTCCTTATCTTGTTGACTCCACCAGTAGGTTCCGATAAGTGAACTTAGTTCCTGACAGAAAGTTTTGGTAAGATCAAAACAAGACATGGCAAAGGTGGGTATTGCTTGGGCAACTGTCGTCACTAATGTTTCCTTGCCGACTTTAGCAATGAGCTTCTCTTTCCATCCATACACACGCCCAGCCATAGCTCCTTTGAGATATCCAAAAGCTTTCCTTCTGGATTTACCCACGTGCACCGGAAGGCCCAGGTACTTATCATTCCATGAGTCGCTATGGATTTGGAGGGCAGCTTTCACTTCATTCCTTGCATCCACCGAAGTGTTTGGACTAAACATGACCGCAGATTTTTCCAAGTTGATGCACTGGCCCGAGCAATTCTCATATAGGTCCAAGATCTCTCTAAGCGCTGTGGCCTCCTCTTGGTTTGCTTTCAGCAGCATAACCGAATCATCCGCAAACAGCAGATGTGAGATAGCCGGTGCATTCTGACAGATCTTCACCCCACTGATAATTACATTCCTCTCCGCATCATGCAACAAAGCCGACAGACCTTCCGCGCAGATAACAAAGAGATACGGGGATAGAGGGTCACCCTGCCTCAATCCTCGTGTAGGGTTAAATTGGTCGGTTAGTTCCCCGTTTACCCTGACTTGATATCTAACTGAAGTAACACACTTCATGATGAGTGCGGTCCATTCTGTACCAAACCCAAGCCTCTCAAGCATGGCCTGCAGGAAGCTCCATTCGACACGGTCATAGGCTTTACTCATGTCGGCCTTGACAGCCGCGACTCCCTCTTTCCCTTTTCTCTTATTCATCAAGAAGTGTGACAACTCATAAGCGATCAGAACATTATCAGTGATTAGCCTTCCAGGTACAAATGCACTTTGGTTTTCGGAGATGAGCTCCGGAATGATGAGTTTGAGACGGTTCGCTACTACCTTTGATACGAGCTTGTACAGAACATTGCACAGAGAGATTGGACGAAGATCCTTTATTCTGGTTGGGCTCTTAACTTTGGGTATCAACACAACCATAGTGTCATTCCACCCTGTAGGTATATCACCCCCATTCAACACAGCCAACACCTCCTCCACAATATGATCACCCATAAAATGCCAATTTTTCTTGTAGACGATGGACGGCATCCCGTCCGGCCCTGGTGCTTTCAAGTCCCCTATGTGATCTAGAGCGGCTTTGATCTCATCTCTTGTAAATTCTGCATTCAGAACCGCTAGCATGGGACTAGTGACCCGCGGCTCCACTTTGTTTAACAGCTCGGACACGCGATCGCCTACACTTGAGGTAAAAAGTTCCTGGAAAAAAGAGCGCACATAGTTAGTCAGCTCCGGCCCCTCCTTCACCTCCGTTCCGTCCTCCTTCTTCAGCATTTTCACCCTATTACGTTTCTTCTTTGCCGCCACCACAGCCATAAAGTAACGAGTACTCCTATTTCCCTTCTTCAACCACGTAACATGGGATCTCTGCTTTGCCTTTGTATTCTTCTTCTCTTCTAGATCACGCACTACCCCTCTGAGCTTCGCCTCTTCTCTCACCTTCTGCTCTGAAATTGGTGCTCGCATACACCGTTCGAGCTCTATTCGTGCTTCCCTCAACCTCCCTTCTAACTCCCCAACAACATCCTTATGCCATTTACGAATCCTTCCTGCCACCCTCTTCATAGCTTCTGCTACTCCTCCCTCCCTTTCCAACCAGCTTTCCTCCCACGCACCTTGTATCTCCTCACTGCAGCCCTCTTCTTGCAACCACCACGCTTCAAACCGAAACCCCCTGTCACCCCTTCCGACCGCCTTAATTTCACCTGACGTATTCACAATTATTGGTCTGTGATCTGAGTGTCGAGGGTTTCCGTTGACCACCTCAAAATCCGGAAAAGTTTCGCACCACTTGGCATTGGCAGTCGCACGATCAAGTCTCTCACAAATATATGAGTCCATCTCCTGACTGTGATTCCTCCAGGTGAACTTATCCCCCGTAAAGCCAATATCACACAGCCCACAACTTTCCAAACTCGCTCTAAAACTGTCCAAGCAAGCTTGGGACCGAGGAACACCTCCCAGCTTCTCATCGTTAGATAGAATTTCGTTGAAATCACCTAAGCATATCCATGGCCTGCCATCCTGATGCTGCTGCCCTAGTAGTTTTATTGTATGCCAAGTCTCCTTCTTCCGATCTGCAGCCGACTCTCCATACACCCCTGTCATCCTCCAGATCATCCCATTATCCTCCTTCACATCAACATCTATATGCCTCCTACCATACGAGCGCAGGGACAGATGCAATCCTCTTCTCCAGAATAATGCAATCCCCCGGCTCCTTCCGTCTGAATCCCAAGCCAGCATCTGGGTCAGACCCAGCAACCACCTGAATCTATCCAACTCTTGTTGAGACATTCTCGTTTCAGAAATAAAAAGAACATCGGGCTCCTCTACTCTCCCCATTTCGAGGAGGCTTTGAACTGCCGGGCCATTCCCGAGCCCCCGGCAGTTCCAGCTGACTATTTTCATTGCTCCCGGCGGGGCTGCTCCTGCAGCCCGGCCGATTTAGTTGCATTGTTGGTCTGCACACCCTTCAACACTTCCTGAACTTCTCCTACGTCCTCAATTACCCCAGTCCTACCCTTCTTAGCTTCCTTCTCTTCATCAGTGGTAGACTCGCTTCTCTTCTGACCTCGGATCTTCTCACTCTGTATGACTAGTAACGGATCCCCATGTGTCCTCTCCACCCTCTTATACCTCTTGCCATTAGGGTTTTTGCCACTACTCCTACTCACTGATCCACCCTCCTTGGTATGTTTATCCTTATGCACCTGGCCCAACACAGCTTCCCCCTCCACTGCAGTACCCATCTTCTCTCCTCCTACCCCGTCTAGTCTCCCTTCTGCACCACTGGCTTCTACTCCCTTTTCTTCACACCCCTTCTCAGACTCTGAAACAGTACCGAGCAACAATTGCGTCCAAATATTTTTTGGAAACAAAGTGAAGGGACTAAAGAATGGTGAGCAGAAACAACAAAATTCGAAATTGGAATGAAAAATATCGCAGGATCTGTCGTGGTTTTAGTG